ACATTGATTTGCAACTCATGTCTGTTCTTTCTTAGCCAATAGTCAGTTCCCGTGTCTCTTCTTTACTTTTATAGAATCACTTTGCAAAACCTCAAATCTTGATGAACTACACAATTTTTTTTTAACCTACACATGTTCCAGCACATGCAACCAGAAAGACTGGTTTCATTAAAAAATTCAGAAAGACTGGTTTCATTAAAAAATTGTCTCAAACTTCCAATAATCTCTTGGCACTGTTTGACAGTCCTACTACTCTCTGATATGACTATTTCATATTTATTTTCTCTTCATCCCTCCTGCCCCATGTGCTTTCTACCCTCACCACCCAGTTGATGATATCACACAATGGTTCTCAAAGTGTGATCCCCAGACCAGCAGCATGAACATCATATGGGAATTTATTAGAAATGAGAATTCTCAGGCCCTACTCCAGGCCTACTTAGTCAGAAACCCTAGGGTTAGGGCCCAGCAATCTGTGTTTTGACAAGCCTGCAGGTGATTCTGATGCAAGCAAAAGTTTGAGAACTACTGGTCTAGCCTTATACTTTCTTGAGAAGCCATTGTCTAGAACAGTGATGGCGAACCTATGACACGTGTGTCAGAGGTGACACACGAACTCATTTTTTTTTGGTTGATTTTTCTTTGTTAAATGGCATTTAAGTATATAAAATAAATATCAAAAATATAAATCTTTTACTATGGTTGCAGATATCAAGAAATTTCTATATGTGACACGGCACCAGAGTTAAGTTAGGGTTTTTCAAAATGCTGACACGCCGAGCTCAAAAGGTTTGCCATCCCTGGTCTAGAATGTAAGCTCCAAAGGCAGGGGTTTTTGTCCTTTTTGGGCATCTATGTATCCTGTGGAGTAGAACAGTGCCTGGAACACTGTGAGCCTCAATAGCTATTGTTGAATCAAACCATTAGATGTGAACTCCCTTATTTTCCTACCAAGAAATTGGAAACCTACTTGCATTTGTCCCTATTTTCTTCCTTTTTCAATTAAGGAAATGTGCCTCGTCCTATCAAAGGTCAATATTTCTGTATATGAACCGGATATCATCCCTCCTTGCCTTCTCAGGAACTTTGCTCCTTTGTTCCTTTGTTCCTTCCCTCTCTCCTGCATTAGCTATCAATCTTTCTCTACTAGGTGAAATCATTTAGTATGCAGTTGGATTCTGCACCATTCTAAAACTACAAACTTTCCATGTCTTCATATCCCCTTTCAGTCACTGCCTTTATTCAGTGGTTCTTGACAAAGTCAATGACTTTTTTAAAGATATAATTTACATACTGTAAAAATTGTGCTCTTAAATGGTACAAGTACAATTAGGTGGTTTTACTAGTAGTGTATTCAGAATTGTTTAACCATCACTACAGTGTAAGATGCAGAACATTTTTATCACCCCAAAAAGAAACCCCCTACCCATTAGCAGTTCCTCCCTGTTTGCTCCACCTCCCAGCCCTAGGCTACTCTCCTCTACTTTCTGTTACAATGGATTGCCTATTCTGGACTTTTCATATAAATGGAATCATCCAATATGTGATCTTTTGTGACTAGTTTCTGTTGCTTACCATGTTTTCAAGGTTCATACACATTGTAGCATGTATCAATACTTCATTCCTTTTATGGCTGAATAATATTCCATTGCATGAATATACTGCCTTTTGTTTATCCATAAGCAGTTGGTGGACATTTGGTTGTTTTTACTTTTTCGCTATTATGAATAATGCTGCTATAAACATTCATGTCTGAGTTCTTGTGTGGAAGTATGTTTTTATTTCTCTTGTATATTCCACTCATAGGAATTGCTGAGCCATGTAGTAGCATTCTGTTTAACATTTTAAGAAACTGCCAAAGCTGTTGCACCATTTTACATTCCCACCAGAAATATATGAGAATTTGAATTTTTCTACATGGTCATCAGCACTTGTTGCCTCTTTTTTTATTACAGTCATCCTACTCAGTGTGAAGTGGTATCTCGTTGTGGTTTTGATTAGCATTTTCCTAATGACTAATGATTTTGAGTATCTTTTCTTTTTTCTTAAAAAAAAAATATATATTTTTAAATATATTCCATTGATTTTTTTTTACAGAGAGGAAGGGAGAGGGACAGAGAGTTAGAAACATCGATGAGAGAGAAACATCGATCAGCTGCCTCCTGCACACTCCCTACTGGGGACGTGCCCGCAACCAAGGTACATGCCCCTGACCGGAATCGAACCTGGGACCCTTGAGTCCGCAGGCCGACGCTCCATCCACCGAGCCAAACCGGTTAGGGCACTTTAAAATATATTTTATTGATTTTTTACAGAGAGGAAGGGAGAGAGATAGTTAGAAACATCGATGAGAGAGAAACATCGATCAGCTGCCTCCTGCACATCTCCTACTGGGGATGTGCCCGCAACCCAGGTACATGCCCTTGACCGGAATCGAACCTGGGACCTTTCAGTCCGCAGGCCGACGCTCTATCCACTGAGCCAAACCGGTTTCGGCTTGAGTATCTTTTCTTATGGTTTTCTTCTGTTTATAGATCTTTAGAAAAATATTAATATCCTTTGTCCATTTTTAAATTGGGTTGTGTTTTCATTATTGAGTTAAAATAGTTTTTTATATGTTCCAAATACTAGTCTCTCATCAGATATAATTTGCAAATATTTTCTACCATTCTGTGAGTTGTCTTTTCACTTTTTTTCCACTTTCTTTTTTTAGAAATATTTTTTTATTGATTTCAGAGAGAAAGGGAGAGGGAGAGATAGAAACAATTATGATGAGAATCACTGATCGGCTGCCTCCTGCACGCCCCCAACTGGGGATCCAGCCCACAACCTGGGCATGTGCCCTGACTAGGAATCGAACCATGACCCCCTGGTTCATAGGCCCATGCTCAACCGCTGAACCACACCGGGCTGGGCATCTTTTCACTTTCTTGATTTTCGGTCCTATTTAATTCTTATTTTGTTGCTTGTGTTTTTGGTTTCATATTTAGGAAAACCATTGCCTAATTCAAGTCATGAGGTTTTACTGCTATGTTTTCTTTTAAGATTTTTATAGTGTTAGCTCTTACATTTAGGTCTATGATCCATTTTGACTAAAGTCGTGTGTATGGTGTAAGGAGAGAGTCTAACGTGATTATTTTGTATGGATATCCAATTGTCCCAGCACCATTTGTTGAAAAGACTTGTTTCCCCCATTGAGTTGTCTTGGTACCCAGTCAGTGATTATATGTTATTAAATTCAATATTCAGCTGTAGCCTGATGGCTCAGTTGGTTGGAGCGGCGTCCCATACACCAAAAGGTTGCGGGTTCATCCTAGCCGGTTGCCAGTGGTTAGAGCGTTGGCCTGGGATTACAACTGTATCCTCATTGGTTACTCTCACTCATTTTTGCTCGCTTCCAATTTCCTTTGACACAGCAAAGCAATATTTTTAGTATTATTTTAATAATATTTTAAGTAATGTTTTAATGGCATTCTCTTGCTCACAATATTCAGTGACTTCCCACTACATTTTGAGTAAAATCCAAATTCTTTTTAAAAAAATATATATTATTGATTTTTTACAGAGAGAAAGGGAGAGGGATAGAGAGCTAGAAACATCGATCAGCTGCCTCCTGCACACTCCCCACTGGGGATGTGCCCACAACCAAGGTACATGCCCTTGACTGGAATCAAACCTGGGACCCCCCCAGTCCGCAGGCAGACGCTGTATCCACTGAGCCAAACCGGTCAGGGAAAATCCAAATTCTTACCATGGTTCAAAGATGCCTGTTCCTCTGACAATATTCCCTGTCATTTTTCCCCTTATGCACTATACTTCATCTTCTTTGGGCCTCATTCAGTTCCTCAAACATACCAAACTCTCAGAAAGGGTTTGTACACATGTTATTTTCTCTGCCTGGAATATCCTCTCCAAAATTCCCACCCCTACATTACTGAGGCTTTCTCATCCTTCAAGGCACGGCATTCCTAACCATTCTAAGGAGTTATCCCCTCTTTTATTTTCTTTCACTGTACCCCATTTGTTTCCTTTATAAAAGTTGTTCCAATTTTAAATTATATCCTACTAGAGGCCTGGCGCATGAAATTTGTGCACGGGGGAGAGGGGGCGGGGTCCCCCTCAGCCCAGCCTGCACCCTCTACAATCCAGGACCCCTAGAGGAATGTCCAACTGCCGGTTTAGGCCCAATCCCCTGTTTCCTAATTCTTAGTGAAATAGCCTTTTATTTTTCTTTCAGAAATTGCCCTTCCTTTTTGGCTGCTGCTTTAGCCAGAGCCACATCAGATGAAGTCTTTCAGAGTGATCTTTCTGCACATTACATCCCACAGGAAGCGGATGGTCTCGGGATTGGGCCTAAACCAGCAGTCGACATCCCTCTCACAATCCTGGACTGCTGGCTCCTAACTGCTCACCTGCCTGCTGGCCTGATTGCCCCTAAATGCCCCCCTGCCAGCCTGGTCACCCCCAACTGTCCCCCCTGCCGGCCTGGTCACCCCTAACTGCCCCTCCGCCCTGCTGGCCTGGTTGCCCCTTACTGCTCCCCTCTGCTGGTCTGGTCGCCCCACGCAGCCTGCTATTCAGTTGTTTGGTCGTCCCTCATTAACCCCCCTGCTGGTCTTGTCGCCCCACGCAGCCTGCCAGCCTGCTATTCGGTCGTTAATGTTACTGTGATGGCGTCCTGGACAATTTGCATATTCCTCTATTATTAGTATAGATTTGTTTACTTATCACATCTCCGTAACTAGATTTTATGCCCTCCACTAGGTCAGGGCTATTTCTATGTTATTCACCAGTATACACACCCAGTGCCTAGGCAGAATGCCTAGCACATAATATGCACTCAATAAATGTGTTGGGTATTGTTTAATGATATAATTTTGTTTTGAGAAAATATATTAATAACTAATTATTAATCATGCTGAATTTATTGTTTCCTAATTCTTAGTGAAATAGCCTTTTATTTTTCTTTCAGTAATTGCCCTTCCTTTTTGGCTGCTGCTTTAGCCAGAGCCACATCAGATGAAGTCCTTCAGAGTGATCTTTCTGCACATTACATCCCAAAGGAAACGGATGGCACAGAAGGAACTGTGGGTGAGTACCATTCTACATTATTTGTTTGAAAATATTAAAATATTCTCATGTGTAGTGATCCACAGAAAATGTCTGCCAAATACTAACTTTAATTATGTTTACCCACTGGTTAATTGTATAGTGGAAGCATGGATCATTTTACTTCTTTTATCCAGGCAAATTATGAGGTTTTATTTATTAAAGAAGGTATATTTATTAATGTATTAGACTTATACATATTAGATAAGCTCTAAAGAAATACCGATTTTTATAAAAATTAGGGAATTACTACAAATTGTTAAGGAATTTAAACATTTCATTCTGTTTGTTCTATTTCAAGCATTTGCCTTTCAACATGGTGCATAAGGAGCAAAGCATATATTAATGAATCAGAGTAGCTAGGTTCCAGAGAATCTGAGGCAGATATAACAGTAAACATTCCTGTTCTTCCTTTCTCTCTCTAGATCATTTTGACAGAAAATTGGCAAGGAAGTAATTCCTCTGCTTGTTTTTACTGAGAGTAATTGGTTCACTTGGAACCAAATTATTCCAGAATCAAGTTGGATGGAATTCCTGCTACAATGCATTGGTCTTCCTTCTGGTACTGATGCATAAAGTAAAAGCCCTGTAATGAAAAGATAAGGGAGATTAAATTCTGCTTCACTGCAGCCAGGCTTATGGCTGACTCAGCTCCAGCTCAGTTCAGTGACATTAAGACTGATGAGTAATTTACAGCTGTTAGGGGGTGGACTACTGCTTTGAACAATTTTCTCACCCTTTTAAATTATTTTTTCATTTCAGGCAGCAATTATTTATATACTAATGTTCTATACCGCTCCCCACAGAAGGAGAATACTTAAAGTAGCAAGATTGAAATACTGCCCTACATGCCTACTTTGTAAGAATTTTCTGACACCCTCCCTCTCCCATAGGATAGCAAAAGTGAAATGAAGGCATTTTTTCTTTTGGTGGATATTACTGGTCGTTTTGATTGTATATTTTTCCAAGAGATTACCCAGTAATGTATTCTCCATGCCACTGCTGTGATTCAGCATGATCTATTGTAATTCGGGACTGTTTGCAAGCCCTTAATCTATTTAACCCAAATCACTCAATGTGAACTGCACTGAGGAGAATACCTACAGGGCAAATTGTGTTTCTCCATATATCAGAGTGGGAAATGAGCGTATTGAATAAGGCCTGCTGTCATTGAAATGCCTTTTGTCTCTTTTTTTAGTTGTTTCCAAAAACAGGTTAAAAAAAAAGTTCTTTTCATGTTTATATCATCCCTAACAATGTTTGTTAAACAACCCTGCATATCTGTTGGTGCAAATTTATTTAGCAGATGTAATGCCTGTCCAGACAACCTAAAATCCATTTGAAATATCCCAATGTAAACATTAAAAACAAAAAGGGGAGAATTATCATTAATACAAAAGAAATTAAAAGAATTATTAAAATACTCTGTGAATGCATTTGAAAATCTGGATATTTTCTGGAAAAATACAAATTAACAAACTTTTCATAAGAAGAAAGAGATGGAGAAGATTGTCAAGAAGCTAGCTATCTTCCCCAAAGGACAAAGAGTAAGTGATTCTCCAGGTGAACAATTTCAAACGATCAAAGACACATAATTCCAATGCTCTTGAAAAAGAATTATTTGATTTCATAAAAAGGAAAATTTGCACAGCATAACACTGATACCAAAACTTAGACAAGCTGTCTAGGACAAGATTTAAAAAAGAAATGAGATCAATCTTAATAATCAATGTTAAATATATTAAGTAAAATATTGGTAACATTGAGTACAACAGCTAATTATTTTGATGAGTATTTTATTGAGAGCCTACCATATACTTAGCATTTTGCTGGCAAAATAGCAGTGAACAAAACAAAAATATTGGGAAGTCTGTTAGCATAATTTATATATTAATAGGTCAAAAGAAAAAAAACACAGAATAATCTCTACCTGTGTTGTCCAGTGCAGTAGCTACTGAGTGTATGCAGTTATTGAGTACTTGAAATACAGCTAATATGACCAAAATACTGAATTTTAAATTTTAAGTAGCCACACTGCAGCTAGAAAGGTATTTTATTGAACAGTCCAGGTCTATAAAATAAGAGTAATATATAAACCAAAGAATGATGTAATGGTTTATATTATTATCAGTTATTTGTTTCTGAATTCATTTATCATTTTGCAATCCTCTGTTGTGACTGAGTCAAATGCATATCCAAACACATATTTGGAGTGATACAAATAGGCAACTGCTGGCTGAAAGAGACAGTGTCTGGCAGCTGGTGCTTAAAAAAAAGATTGGAGTTGCTTAAAACCATCAAAATGTTGTGTGTTCTTTTGGCCTCAGTTTCCCTCTTATATACACCTTCTCAGGTTTTACTTGTTCTTTCAAATGTACCCTTGATTTTCAGTTATATAAAAATGTCAAGGGGACAAAATCACAAAACATAGTTTACCACCCTGGATTATGTTAATGAGAAAAACAACAGAAAATCTTGAAGTCAATTTCTGAACAGTCATTTTAAAAAGAAATTTGAATAAGAAAACAAGTAACTGTAGTCACAGATTTAGGCAATGTCTGGGCAAGGAATATAAAATGAGACTAAGTTCCCAGGCCGTTCTAAGAACACACAGTCTCTCTTTGGGACTTGTGTTGTAGATGGCAAGAGGCATGCACAGCCATTTCCCATCTGGCACACATTTTCTCAGGCTGTCAAGCTATATGTGACTTAGTAAAGTAAAACAAAAATTTGAGAATTCTATTTTTTTTTTTTTACCTGGGATGTAAGAACCACCTCTAAAATACTGTCCTGAGAAAACCTAATCTCCCCTTGGTTATTTCAATAACTGCAGCTTGAGGAGAGGACAACTTGCATGGAGGTGATGTGAGACAATAGGGTCAATACTATTCAGTGTTGCTTAAAAGGCTTTCTTTCATATCTGTCCATAAACTGAGGGATGCAAGTCAGTCTCAGAAACCAGCTAATAAGTTGAGTAGTAGACTCAATGGTCTGGGAGTAGAGAATCCTTTGATTGTTATCTTTTTTTTTTTTTCTATCCAGGGTTACACACATACAATGTAAGTATTTTTTCCTTAGAGAAATAAAAAAACTTTGTTAACCTATTGGCTAAACTATTTAAGCTACTGCCTAAAGCTTTAAATAAATAACAGAAGACATCAACAGCCCTAGCCAGTTTGGCTAGTGGTTAGTGTCGGCCTGAGGACTGAAGGTCTCTGATTCAATTCTGGTCAAGGGAGTAGGCTCCATTCCCAGCTGCCAGTCAGGGCGCATGTGGGACCCAGTCAATTGATGTGCCCCTTTCACATCAATGTTTCTCTCTCTCTCTCCTCCTCCTCCTCCTCCCTTCCACTCTCTCTAAATAAAGCAATGGGGGGAAAATATCCTTGGATAAGGATTAACAAAACAAAACAAATCAACAAAAATAATTTATTTCTGAGTTATAATCAGTTACAGAAGAGAAAACGGGGAACGGGAAAGAGGAAAAGAGGCTACGAAGGGGAGACAAAGACAAATGATAAGGTAAACTCTTCTGGTCCCTGTAGTTTATAAATAAATAATGTTGCTCAGAGGCCTTTCATGTTCTAATCAGTTGGATAGCCACTGTTCGTATTTCACTCATCTAAGCATAGGGGTCTTGGCCTTCCAGATGATAACCATGGCAGCCAACTGAGCAGGAAACTGCCCTGAACTAGATAGCAGTGGCCAGAGCACTTTGTGGGCTAGACAAAACCCAGCCATGGCGAAGACCCAGCCCTGAACAGAGGTTTCTCCTCATGAAACAGGATCATCCTAGTGGCAGCTGCTAGATGATTTTCTAATAGATAGGTTGTCATTTTCTCTTTTCAGAAGCAATACTTCGTTTCTCTTGAGAAGAAGGAATTTCTTTTATTAAGGAGGAGCTTAACCGGTGTGACCTACTTCTGTCTTTACCAATCAGGCAAGTGAAAAGCAGCTTTACAAGGCTCTTCATTGGGGGTTTCTGTGTTTCTTTCACAGAGATTGAGACAGTGAAATTGGCCCGTTCTGTCTTCAGCAAACTACATGAGATTTGCTGCAGCTGGGTGAAAGACTTCCCTCTCCGCAGGAGACCCCAGCTTTATTATGAGACATCAATCCATGCCATCAAAAACATGCGCAGGAAAATGGAGGACAAACATGTCTGCATTCCTGACTTTAATATGCTCTTCAACCTAGAGGTAAAGGGCACTTCTGAGGTCAATGAGATTTAAAAAAACACAGTCATGGTTTTCTAACAGAACTCCTTATACAGGGTGGGTCAAAAGTAGGTGTATAGCCTGGCTGGTGTGGCTCAGTGGTTTAGCATTGACCCATGAACCAAGAGGTTACTGGTTCGATTCCTAGTCAGCCCATATGCCCAGGTTGCTAGCTCAATCCCTAGTAGGGGGCATGCAGTACGCAGCCAATTGAAGTTTCTCTCTCATTGGTGTTTCTTTCTATCCCTTTCCTTTCCCCTCTCTCTAAAATCAATCAATAAACAGCAATTAATTTTAAAAAGTGGGTTTACAGTTGTGAGTACAGGAGTTTCTTTTTTTAAAAAAATATATTTTTAAAAATTGATTTCAGAGAGGAAGGGAAAGGGAGACAGAAACATCAATGATGAGAGAGAATCATTGATCAGCTGCCACTTGCATGCCACCTACTAGGGATAGAGCCTGCAACCTGGGCATGTGCCCTGACCAGGAATTGAACCGGTGACCTCTTGGTTCATAGGTCTATGCTCAACCGGTTGGGTGGGAGTTTATTCTTGTATTATTAATTACTGTATTATTTTCCATATAAACAACTGTAAACCTACTTTTGTCCTACCCTGTACTTCTAATAGTATCTGATATGTCTGAATAGGATTCAAGGCAAAGTGGCACACATTTGCTTGCATTAGACAATAGAAAAGGAATTTATTTTGAATAGGTAATGCATTCACATGGTTTAGAGTAGAAAAATAAAATCTCTCTTATTTTTGTCTCTCAAACACTCAGTTCCCTTCCATGAAGGCAAGGGAATTACCAGTTTCTTGTGTAACTTTCCAGAGCTATTCTATAGACATACAAGTAAAAAAGAAAACTGTTATATCACTATAAAGCTGTGTGTTTTTTAAGGAAACTATTTTGATAGTATAATCAAGTGGTATTTATTAAGTTCCCACATTATGTTGCTGAAGCACAACACAAAACACAAACATAAAAGAATGAATTTGAGACTGAGACAGTTTTCTGATTTCATGTGGTTTCCTTTTTTAAATCTTGGTTTCTGATAGGAAAGTAGCTGGAATTACATTTCCTGAATCTGTGACTGACAAATTGGATATGAGCCTTGTCAACTTAATAACCATGTTCTTGTCATATTCCTCTTCTCTTTCTATTAAGTCTATTATGTTAATGCAAACAGAGGTAGGTTTGTTTTCTTTGCCTGTCACTTACCTCTTTCCTTCACTTAAGTCCATACCTTAGAAATTACAATGTAGTCATTTCTACAAAGCACAATACTTCCTTTATTTAGCAGTTAAATTTAAATTTAAGCCGAATGTCAAGGTCTGATAAGCAGTGATAGTGGTTTAGTAACTGGTGCTTATATTACAAGATAGATGAGGTGATATCTTTGTTTCCAAATGTTACCATGTCCATGCAAATATAACCCAAAGGATGTTTTGTTTGACATAACTCTTTTATAAAACATTGTCAATAAGAAATGGAAATGATCTAAATTATTGCATATAGGGAATAACTATGATATGTTCATAAAATGTATTGTACACATACATTTAAAGTTATGTCTTTGAGAATACTTAATGACATGGGGGAAATGCAGGATATAAAATTCAATGTATAGTATGATCCTAATTTTATTGAAAAATGTATATATGTATGTATGTAAAAGACTGGTTACCTGTGGATGGTGGGATTATAGATACTTACTTCTTTACACTTCTTTATCAGGCCAAAAAAATGTACACCATCTTTATAATAGAGAAAACATCAGTATTTTTTAAAATTTAAGAAGCTATACTAATTATTTAAGAAATCCATTAGACTTCTTCCGTTTCTTCTGATGCTATACTAAGAATCTCTCCACAGATCTCACATTGTTTAGTTGCAGTCTCAAGTCCCAATAAAGGAATTATTGCCCCCTCTCTCTATGATAATCCCACAGCAGCTCATTCCCCATCATTTAAAAACTGCTTATATATGCTGTTTTTCTATTTTACCCTTATCCTGCCAATTGAGTTGTATAAAAATGAGTACTACTCTTCAGTACAGGACTGTTTTTCTAGATCAGTGATGGCGAACTTATGACATGCGAACTCATTTTTTTGGTTGATTTTTCTTTGTTAAATGGCATTTAAATATATCAAATAAATATAAAAAATATACATCTTTGTTTTACTATGGTTGCAAATATCAAGAAATTTCTATATGTGACACGGCACCAGAGTTAAGTTAGGGTTTTTCAAAATGCTGACACGCCGAGCTCAAAAGGTTCGCCACCACTGTTCTAGATAGATTGATTTAGTCAGTTAACCTTGCAGGTGGTGTTCATTAGACTGCTAAATTAACTAGTTGTAATGTCTGTAGTAAGTACAGACTTAATAATATTTGGGTGTAATCATTACTTTCTGGACATTTACATGTGGTACTTATATAAATGTAGTATACTCTTTAAAAGAACTTTTCCAAAGTACAAATATACCTGTTGTTTTAGTAGTCCTTCCAAATCCCCATGAGATAGCAACTCACCCCTACCTAATAGATAGGAAAACAAGCACAAAATAATTATATGGTTTACTTTGGATATTTGTTTGAATGACATTTGAATGACAGGACCTAGACTCATTCAAGCTTCTAGAGCTCAAGGAATGTCAAAACCTTACAAATGAAAATCATTAAATACTGTTGTCTAAAGAGAGTCCAGGACTCAGAGTTCAGTGAGTTATTTATCTCCTAAGCAAGCTAGATCTGAGATTTAAATACTTGAGTTGAAGAAGCAAATTACTTAATGGTTTTAATGTAATCTTGTGATTAGGCTTCCTTTGGCAGGACAAAGCACAGGTTTGGAAGCCCTTCCTCTGGCAGTTGTTGGGGGGGGGGGGGGGGGCGGGGTGGCAAGGAAATGGGAAGCTGAATCCTCCAATAGGGGACAAGGAAGTGTTACAGTGCATTTGGACATCTGTGTGGTTCAAGTTTTGCCAACCAGTTTAGACTGTGTTATTTATGGTGAGGATTCAATGTGACTATGAATGATTTATGAGGGCGATATTATAGTTTAAAAGTATGTGTATGCTTTCATTATCTCTATGTATTTTAAACAACCTAACATAATTGGACTTGTGCTGGAAGGCCAATTATTTCCTATTGTTTGTAGTTTCTAATTTTATGATTAAAATGCTTTTCTTTTTGGAAACATCACTCAATGCAGAACAGTTTTTGTTCAATCCCTCATACCTTCTTTTTCCTTCCTCTCCCCTCAAAATTGTAGTAGCAATTTTGAAGCAAATACATGTGGGTGGTTTCCATGGTGCAAGACAACTTTCACAGAGAGAGGGCACTTCAGCCTGAGCTAATTGGGCATGATGTGTTCCAGCATTCTGGTGTAAACACATATGCCCTAGTATTGCAGGTGTTTTAGCAGTTGATCAGGCATATCAGAAAAGGGAAAAATTTAATCTCATTAATCTGGGCCACAGTGCAAGGGACCTCTGTTTCTGTGTTTCTATTGACAGGACCAGGAAGAACAAGCTTACTTTGCAGTGTTTGATGGCCACGGAGGAGTGGATGCTGCCATTTATGCCTCCATTCACCTGCATGTTAACTTGGTACACCAGGAGATGTTCCCCCATGATCCTGCTGAAGCCTTGTGCCGGGCCTTTCGGGTCACTGATGAACGGTTTGTACAGAAAGCAGCCAGGGAGGTATGCCTTTTTCATAAATTCTTGTCATGACTGCACTGGCTGAGCTCAACTGATCTGTGGTTAAAGGGCTATTTGTTTTCCCTTTTGGGGCAGGCATTATTTAAAGTTCTCTTCCAAACTGTGTTTGACCCACAGTATTGGATTCTGTTGTAGTTCTAATTCTCTCTTTGGAAGAGTTTTAGTGGGGTGCTATGATGTACAGTATAGAAACTCGAAGCTATAATTTTCTACAAAGGCACTCCATTGCTGGATCTGGCAGATGAGTTTTGTCTTTCATATTCACTATTACCTGTCAGGTTCACATGAGGACCATCTCTCTAAGCTGACTTTTGCTGATAAAATCTGGAAATGGAGATTAAAACAATGGTCTAAAAAAGAAATCGAAGCTGGGATTACTCCCAGGCATTTAGTTCTAAATGGGTTGGCAGTGTTTTGCTGCGTATCTGTTGAGGGAAAATTTGCTTGGAGACAGTGAATCCTTAGATAATCCTTGAACTGATTCTCTTAACAGGAAAAGTCAGAGCTCATGTCCTAATTTCTTGAGGTTAATCAGACATAAGGTTTTTACTCTGAATAAATGACAGGGGCTCTATATTAAGATCTAAAAGTAAAAAATTTAATTACCAGTCTGGGTATTGGTACATAATTAACTATGGTATTCTACATTCATTTCTAACTGGGGCCCAATAGAAAGAATAATTTTTAATTTTTAATGTAATTATAGTATCATATGACCTAAACATTAACTCTTCAAAATGGTTGGAGAGAACAGGGTAATCATTTTAATCCATTTCTTTGATCTCATAGTTACGCTATACAGCGGTAGTGGGGCTTAAAATTAATTAAATAATTCAGAACTATTTGTTATTAGGCAAGAGAAGTAGTCTATATTTCCCATCTATACCCCAGATTTAGATTAATAGGTAAATCCACCATCAGCAACCACTAAGGTCTACATAGAGAGATGTGGGCTAGAAAACAAGATACAGTGTTGACCTCAGACCTTCCCAGTCTCTTGAGTGCTGGCACTGTCCAGCTGTTTGTCATCATTCTGACCGAGGACAAGACCCGGCCCCTGAGAGAGGATCTGTAATCACCATCGTGAAACTAAGAGAATCACTTGCCTTTCTCATCCTCTGTTCTATCCCTTTTCCTCTGTGTACTCAAAAGTATGACTTTTTTCCTGACCAAGTTCATTTTATTTGCGTTGCCAGTGACCCTAGTTTATCTCAGTCCTGCCAATAGTTCTCTTGAGTAATTTAGGTTTGTCTCAACAAACAGTTAAGTTTTCTCCTTGTGCTTCCATGTGCTGCTAACTGCTGGGAAGAAAGCAGCTATTTCTGTTGCGAAGCAGCCCTGCCTCCTGTTCTCTCCAGGGCATATGCACTGCAATGTCTTTATCATGTGTTCCAGGGGGCTGAGTTTTTGAACAGTCTGTGTGGGAAGACATTTTATTGGTGGGTGAGGATTTATAACAAACTATCCCTATGTAGGGAAAATGAGTTGTTTTTCTCATTGGCTACAAGGGGCCTTTTACCACCCATGACGCACTGGTTCTAATTTAGGACAAGTTCTTAATAACAGAAAGTCATGCTCATTTGGTGGTGACTCATGTCAAATGGAGATGTCATATTAATATAGTAGTATCAAGAGCATTAAGTAAAGTGATACTGAGCTATTGCAGTGAAATTCCAGGCTGTTAGTTCTTTATGCAATGTTCCAAAAACAAGTTTACAAAGTTCTCACTTCTAAAATTATTTGTTTTAAGGTATCCTAGTAAGCATCTTAGCACTAACTCCAGGGAATGTATGTCATCCCTTGGCTCCTATCTCACTGTCCAGAGTATGGGAGCATTTGTGTAGCAGTCAGATGCTTTACATGTTATTCTGTAAAGTGAGGACGCTCCCCCTAAACATACAGTATGTCAGTAACAAAACAGAGCCCACAATATGGCAGTCTTTACTCTTAGAGTTGTTATAGTGGATTCAGCACTGGACTAGCAGGAAAAAGAATTTCATTTCTCTTATGTGTACTAATCAGTTACCTGCCCTTGGACAAGTCATTGTTTTCTTACCTGTATATAAAATGGAATTAATAATCATCCCTGCCTTGCATATCACAGATAAATGGATCTATATGTGTGCACATTTAAGTACATACATGCATATCAAAATGAGAAATTCAGATTTAGATATAGAAATTGCTATTTATTTGTGAAATCAAGCTATTAATAATCTAGCTTCCAACTGAAAGGTCTGAATTAATTATAAATTGCTTCTCAATGAGAATGATATCTACTTATTTAAATTTTATTGTTGACAGTATTATGGGAGATGCCTCCCTTTTGCCCCCCTCCACCCAGCCTGTACCCTACTCCAGGCCTTCCCCATACTATTGTCTATCAATGGGTTATGCATATATGTTCTTAGAATTTTATATCTATGTATTTTTACTGACTCTGGTTTTATTTAAACTATTTTCAGAGCTTAAGATGTGGGACCACAGGAGTGGTGACTTTTATCAGAGGCAACATGCTACATGTAGCCTGGGTGGGTGATTCCCAGGTTATGCTTGTGAGAAAGGGCCAAGCTGTTGAACTAATGAAGCCACACAAACCAGACAGAGAAGTAAGTATGGTCTGTTCCACAAAGGCAATTTTCTGGTTATTAAGATTCTCTTAATAACATAATTATCACCATTATTTCAGCATTCATGCCCACCTTCCAATGGAGAAATAAAGAGAAACTTTCCAGAAAGCTGATGAATATATCTGTTGTTTACTGTTAAGGTAGATGAATAAATCCTGAATCTAATTATTTGCTTCTTTTCATTGCATTGCTGTTTAGGATGAAAAGCAGCGAATTGAGGCCCTGGGAGGTTGTGTAGTCTGGTTTGGTGCCTGGCGAGTGAATGGAAGTCTATCAGTCTCCAGAGCTATTGGTAGGAAAAACCAATTAATTTTTGTTTCTCTAAACTGTCCTCTTTTGGCTCATTGTCTTATGTTAACTCTGATACAACAAGGAACCAGAGATGATAATTTATATTATCAGTGTACTTTTTATTATTTAAAACAGCAGTTGGATGGTGGCTCTGTAAATTATTTTATTTAATTAACCTACTCATTTATATGCTTAAATTCCATTACTAAAAGGGAACTGTATTAAGAAATGTAGAACTTATTAGTTTCTATCCTCCCTTATTTTTTTTAAAAGGAAGTCTTTAATCTTTGGTACACAAATCTACACGATCCTCATTTCATTTTGGGTCATATTTAGTTTAAATCAGTGTTTTCTAGAAAATGGAAACCTCCCCCCATATTTTACTTTGCTAATGTCTTTATGTCATTCATTATGAATTTTTAAATGACTAAACAACAGAGAACAAATCCATGGGGAAAACATTGTGCTTTTTAGATGAAAATAATTTTCTATATGAGGAGTGTAATAATTTGCCAGATAACCCTGGGGTTTCAAAGAATTTGCTCCCTGGGATCTAAATTCTTCAAAAGAAGGGGAAGTCAACAAAACTGTCTAAAACTTAGAGAGTAAATAGCTAAACTGATTGGACAAAATCCAAAGATATAAGTTCAGAGAATTGAGATATAGTCTACTTTCTGTCTTTGTTTCACTTTCACGCCTGAGTTTATTTTAGGTTTCATGCCTTATCTTTATTTTCTGTTGTTGTTGCTTTTAAAGAATAAATCAATGTGAGTGCCTATATGGGTGATATGCATATGTGCATATATACTGCAGTTCTTAGTCACAGCTTCCTAAAGAAATGAGGTAATCTGACATAGGGATAACATGGATTAATGGAATTTACCTCTAATCCCCAACTTTTACTTATCATTACCAAAAATCTCAAAGGACTGATTCAATTTCACCACGGATGTGAGTTGTTCCTCCCACTCTTTGGGAAGGTACTGGCAAGCTGTGAAGTGGCCCAAATGTGGGTAGCAGAAGGCTGAGAGAGAAAGAAAAATTCTGCAAATATCTCCTAAAAAAGTGAAAGTTGGCTTTATCTTATGACAGAGGGAGTTATTAGGAACTCTGGCATAAGGCCAAATAGGGAAAACTTCCCATTTCTAAAACATTCTATATAGAATTATTTTTTGACAATTCCAACCAAAGACCTCTTCCTCTTGATCTTCCCATCTTTGTCAGTGTTTGAGAGGTATCTTTAATACCAGCTTTACTAGGGAGATACTTGACTTGTTTCTAAAAATATAACACATGGGGAAACTAAAGCAGGGGAAAAATGTCCTTGACTAAGTGACAGTCTAGGACAGAATAAGCAGACTTCAGAGGAAGTGACTTTTGTGCTGGGCATGGAGGATAGTATTCAGGGAGGAAATCCCAGGTACAGGGGGATATAAATACATGGGCATCTGAAAGAGCGTTGTGTTTTAGGAACAGAGGCTGGGGCAGAGGTGGAAGTGCTGGTGCTAAGTTGTGAAGGGACTAAGTAGTCTGGGCTTTAACAGGTGATAAGCAGAGGGGCCCATATGATCTGGTTTGTAGTTATGTTTGTAATGGTTTGTAAGACAATCTAGAGTAGAAAGCCTAGATGAATGATCATTCAGGAAGCTATTGATAACATTTTTACAGAGATGAGGCAGCTAAAAAGGGATACAGAGGAGGGTATAAATTGATGGGACAGAAATGAGTTTGTGGGGGAAGAGGAAAGCTAACTTCCAGGTTTGACTTGTGTGACTGAGAAGATAAAGCATTTGTAATAAAGCAGCAGCAATTTGGTGGGTGGGGAGGAGGGCAGATGATGAGTTCATTTTGGATATATTTTATATTCTAGGTACCTCTGAATTGGAGATAGAGATTTGGGAACTCATCCCATTTTGGCAATAATATATGCAACCTCTGAAGTAACATATATATTAGTTGAAACTATGGGTATGGATGACATTGCCCAAGAAAAACCTGTAGTATGGAAAGGGAGAGCCTCATTCCTTAAGGTAGAATACCATAATGAAGTCAGCTCTCTGAGTTTGTATCTTGGATATGCCACGTTACAAGCTGTGGGCCTTGGGAAGTTTATTTCTCTGTTTCTATTTTTTTTTTGTAAAGTGTGAACAGTAACAGTACCTAAGTTATGAAGTTCTTGTATTAAATAGCACAATACATGCACACACTCAGAGCTCTGTATGTCACAGTCGTAAACAGTGATTGTTAGTGCTATTTTTATTTGAGATTCTAAAATTGACAGAGAGAGAGAGAGAGGGTGAGGGGAAGAGAAACATCGATGTGAGAGTGAAGCAATCCGCTACCTCCTGCACACCCCCAACCAGGGACCAGCCATACCACAGGCACGTGCTCCAACTGGCAACTCTTTGGTGCACAGGAAGATGCCCAACAACTAAGCCACATGGGCCAGAGATGTTAGTACAATTATTATTTTTTAAAATATATTTTTATTGATTTCAGAGAGAAGGGAGAGGCAGATAAAAACATCGATGAGAAAATTATTGATTGGCTGCCTCCTGCATGCCCCCTACTGGGGATCAAGCCTGCAACCTGGGCATGTTCCCTGACCAAGAATCACACAGTGACCTGATGCTCAACCACTGAGTCACACCAGCTGTGCTGTTAGTGCAATTGTTAAGTGAAGGAGCGAGTGAAGAAAATAAAGAGGGCATGAGAGTTTTAGAAGTGGGGTATCTCAGACGCTAGGGGAAGAGGGTTTCTAGGAGAAAGTAGTGAACAGGGTCAAGTGCTGCAGAGGTCAAGTGAGAAGTGGGTTAAAAAAATAAGACCTGGAATTTTGAAAATAGGGACTACAACAGGTCCTTGCATAATGTTCTGTTTACTGTCATTTTGTTATAACGTTAATGAGATGCTGTATGAACTTGCTCTTCTTTATATTAATTAGCCTAAGGCAGTGGTCGGCAAACCGCGGCTCGCGAGCCACATGCGGCTCTTTGGCCCCTTGACTGTGGCTCTTTCACAAAATACCACATGCAGGCGCGCACGTACAGTGCGATTGAAACTTTGTGGCCCATGCTGAGAAGTCGGTTTTCGGCCTGGGCGAGTCTATTTTGAAGAAGTGGCGTTAGAAGTAGTGGGGGGTGTCAGTGGGTCGGGCAACGGGAGACTCGGCACAGCGCGGGGGAGGTGCGCGCGATTCATGCACTAGTTGAGTGAGCCAGCCAGTCAGCAGTCTCATTGTGCAGTGGTTAGTGCTAGTCACGTCCGCAAATCGCGCGCGGGTTAAGTTTATTAAGTAAAAAGTAAAGTTTATTAAGTTAATTTTAGGGAACGTTGTGGAGTGAAAGAAGATGTAGTGTCGAGGATTGAGAAAGGTATGTTGAGATGGTTTGGACATATAGAGAGGATGAACGAAAGGAGATAGACGAAACAAGTATACAAAGACGAGTGTGGATGGGAGAGTTGGAAGGGGTCGACCTCAGCGAACGTACCTCAATCAGATTGAGGATGTTTTTAGCAAAGGCCAGCTTAAGAGTACCCTAATTAAGTTAATGACAATGTACCTACCTATATAGTTTAAGTTTAAAAAATTTGGCTCTCAAAAGAAATTTCAATCATTGTACTGTTGATATTTGGCTCTGTTGACTGATGAGTTTGCCGACCACTGGCCTAAGGTAAAACTGGTTTCCTTTTATCATTTCACTTAGTCATAGAAACCTATAGATGACATTAAATGAAGGCTTACTGTGATTGGTAACATCTGAGATAAATGTGTTGGATCAGTAGGCACACAAAGCAGAAAACAATCAGGTGAGGGAAAATGAGCGGTAACATGAAGCAGCATGTGCAGATTTGGTTTCTTGGACAATATGGTGGTGAAGGGAGACAGTGTGGTGACTTGAGGGAAAAGCTGATTTGGGAAAGTATTGCTTTCATTGTTTTTGTTTTTTTTTTAGGTGAGATTTTAGATCAGACCCTGTTTATACAATTAAGGAAGAGAGCAAGTAGAAGAGAAATTGAACAGGGGAGAGAGAGAAGCCAGGGTCCAAGAGCACAGGTTAGCTTTGAGAAGGGAAAGGACACCTTTTACTCTGAGAAATGGTAGCTGATATGGGTGAATCTCTAGATTTAAAAAAAAACCAGAAGAAATGGGTGGAGAGGAATTGAGGAAATTTAGGATTGATAAACTCAAATTATCCTTGAAGTAGGCAATTAGGCCATCTACCCAATCCAGTAGTTTAATTGGAAGAGGGAGTTGAAAATGAGAGATTTAGAAAGCTCATGGCATAAAATAGAGGGTTAAATGGGGACAAGAAAAAGGATTCCTAAGCAGAGTTCAACTCTACTTAGGAAAAAAATGACTCTTAAAGCTTTGAAAATTAAAAGCTTTAAAGCCCTTCAAATGTATGATCCAAAGTTGACTGAAGCATGATGTTTCCTAGCATATGGAGAGAGGATGCTGAAGACAAAAAGATGTTGCCATTTCTGCCATGAAATGGATAATCATGCCCTCCTACCAAATTGGGGGTGAAATGTCATGCATTTGACATCCAACAGTAGAGCAAGTGAAAAGCCAGAATTCTGGCAGCATTTCTTTTGCAAATTCTTTGTATGTTCTGTTCTAAACTAACAGTTGCAGTAGCCTTTTACTTGACACACTAAAACAAGATTTTTGGGAACAGCATGACTCAGATCACATTTATTTTTAGAGTTGGAATTCAGAAAATAATGACAACAATACAGTGAGGTGAAGTAGCAGAGGGGGAGATTTGTGAAGTAGATTGGTGGAGGACACTGAACCCCATGATTGGAAGTTTTAACTAGTTTTTACAAACTAGCTAATTAAAAGGCACCATAGTATAGAAGTGAAACTGACTAAATCAAAACCATGCTTGAGGAAGACAGTTCTGGTTACTGTATGAAAAAGATAGTTTACCTTGTAGATAAACTAAGGCAGGTAAATATATTCAGTATTTGTTTTTTTAGGGTATCCCTTTCAAAATGCTGGGTGGGGCATGTGGCCCACTGTTGGTGCTAGCGGAGTTCTCCATAGGGTTCCTATTCAGCTTTCTGGGTCTACTTGAGGATTAAAAAGGAATGTGAAACATTGGGGGAAACCTATATCAGATACCAGAACAGTGACAATATAGCCAGATCACTTAAGTATATTTATCTTTATTTTATCTTCCACTTCTCAAAATGTCCAGTTTTAGTGCAATGGAAAGGCTAATAATTGATGAGGGTTTTTAACAAGTGCTAGGATTTGGACCCAGGCAGTTGTGACTCATGCTGGCATCCTTAAACCACTAAGCTATGTCTGTCACTGCTTTACAAATGATAAAAGCACTTTATAAATTTTTAAAAAGTATTATCGATGCATTATGATACCCTAAGAATTACTGCTTAATACTGTTTGTTTGTTTTTCATGTTAAGAAATGAGTATCCCTTGTTGTAAGTTGTAAGTAATAATCTATTTGGTTACCTAATAGGGTAAGGACCCTTTTTGCTAGTTCTCTCCAAATCCCTAAGGAAAACAATGAATGTAAACAATGAATGGAGCCCTAACCGGTTTGGCTTAGTGGATAGAGTGTCGGCCTGCGGACTGAAGGGTCCCGGGTTCGATTCCAGTCAAGGGCATGTACCTTGGCTGCAGGCACATCCCCAGTAGGGGGTGTGCAGGAGGCAGCTGATCGATGTTTCTCTCTCATCGATGTTTCTAACTCTCTATCCCTCTCCCTTCCTCTCTGTAAAAAAATCAATAAAATATATTTAAAAAACAAACAAACAAAAATGGAGTTGGAAGTGCTCTGGATCTGGAAGTTCCAAACTGCACTACAGATGATGGCTTGTCTTCATAGTCTGTGATGGAAACCTACCTCGGTGTGTGGCCCCAAGGTCTCCAGTCTGTCTCTACTCCCAGCACCCTATATTCAACTACCTATTAGTCTCTAACAGTTCCCTCAACCCAGAACCCTTCTCTGCCTGGTGATAACTAACTTCTTCAAGGCCCAGCTAAAATGTCATTCTGTAAGTGGATGAGCTGAGCAAATAGGGTTTTGGGGGTGCTTACAGTTGTTCACAGGTGTGAAGGATGAGTAATAGTAATAAAGACAGAAGGGGGGTGATCAGAAACAATTTGAAGAAAAAAGCAAGAATACGGTAGTCCCTGAAGATGAGAAAAATGATCATACACATTCTGACTGTGCTCTAGAAGTAATAAACAAAGCAGAATTTAAAAAATAGAAAGCAAATTGGACTGGGAATTGAGCCTAACATTCTAGTTCACTTGTCTGAGGCTTGGGATGACTTTTCCTGGCTTGTGGGAGTTGGACTTGATTTTTAAAAATCCCTTGTAACTCAAGCCTTCCTTTGTGTTCACAGCATGAAACTTGATTTCTAAATAAGGATATAATAAGAATTAAGTGTTTAATAAAAAGAAGTGATCAGAACTTTGGTTTGTTTTTCAGTGTGGACCTGTTCTCAAATCTCAATTGATCGAAGTTAACCACCAGTAAAAGAAAAGATCTGCTAAATCCACAAGGTTTTCCTACGCAGGACTCAAGTTTCCAGTACAGCAACAAATTTAGATGTGACATTTGTTGCCATGCTCAGCTAAGCCTACGTCATAGCTAAGACATAAAATTCAGAGTCTAAGCTAGATAAGAAATTAAGCCCAGTTAATGGCAATTATACAACTGAGAGTGAGGCATAAGCAGCATCTGATTAACAGAGAATTCAAGTATTCTCTCAAACTAGATTATAAATTATTTCCAGTAATTCAGATCACAATTGCAGAATGAGTCATAGCATTGGCTATCCACATTCTTACAAGCAAGGTAAAGCAAAATCTGACCTATGTTCTAATTCCCACAGGAGATGCTGAACATAAGCCATATATCTGTGGGGATGCAGATTCCGCCTCTACTGTGTTGGATGGAACTGAAGACTACCTCATTCTGGCCTGCGATGGCTTCTATGACACCGTGAACCCTGATGAGGCAGTGAAAGTTGTATCTGATCACTTGAAGGAGAATAATGGAGACAGCAGCATGGTTGCCCACAAATTAGTGGCGTCAGCTCGTGATGCTGGGTCAAGTGATAACATCACAGTTATTGTGGTTTTCCTGAGGGACATGAACAAAGCTGAAAATGTTAGTGAGGAATCAGACTGGACAGAGAACTCCTTTCAAGGAGGGCAAGAAGATGGTGGGGATGATAAGGAAAATCATGGAGAGTGCAAACGCCCTTGGCCTCAGCACCAGTGCTCAGCACCAGCCGACCTAGGTTATGATGGGCGTGTGGATTCATTCACTGACAGAACTAGCCTGAGCCCAGGGTCCCAAATCAACGTGCTGGAAGACCCAGGCTACCTAGATCTCACACAAGTAGAAGCAAGCAAACCTCACAGTGCTCAGTTTTTGCCACCAGTTGAGATGTTTGGTCCTGGTGCACCAAAGAAAGCAAATCTCATTAATGAGCTAATAATGGAGAAAGAATCAGTTCAGTCATCATTGTCTGAATGGAGTGGTGCTGGAGAGTTTCCCTCTTCCTTTAATTTGGGTTCAACAGGGCAGCAGATACACAGAATGGAGAGTGTCTCCCCTGTCTGTCCTAGGTTGGAAAATGAACAGTTAAAATTCCTGGGAAATAGAGTTTCTAGATTATCTCATTTACGCTATCACTTCTCAAAGAGGTGGCATGGATTCAGGTTTAATCCAAAGTTTAATTCATTCCTCCCTGCTCAAGAGCCTTCCCACAAAGTAGGCACAAGCCTATTTTCACTTACTTCACGTGGGAAAAGAAATAGGATGTTAAGAAGTTCTCTGCCATGGAGGCAAGACAGTTGGAAAGATTATAATGAAAACATGAGGAAGCTCAGAAAGAGTAATGATATTCCATACCCAGATCTTCCCTGGAGCTGTAAAATATAATACTTTGTCTTTAGAGTAGGCTAGCTAGCTCTCCCCCAATAAAACCACCATCAGAGTAGAAACAAGGTAGACATTTCTGAAATATGTGTTCATTATGAAATCATAAATGGCTCAATTCTTAAATGTAAATAGATCTCTAGGAAACTCAAAATAGTGATTTCAATCAAAAGAAGTTTTTTGGCAGTTTCATTAGCAAAATTATACAACTGATCCCTGTAATGTATCTCCACATCTACATACAACCCCACCCCACTGCCTCTTCACACCATTAGTGGAAGCTTGCAAGGTATTTATTTCTGTCAGGATACAGTGTTGAAATCTGGTCTGATATGCCTAATGTATCTTTGGAAAACTTAACGTAGAATTGATTTAGTTGAGGACTGTTCCTCAAAAGACTCGGGACTATGAGGGAAAACCCTCCCTTCCCCACTTTTTTGGTAAGTAAAAGACTATAAGCCATATGGGTTTTAATTGGTAACAATGAAAGTAGAAGCCTAGTGTAAAAATGTCGTATTTTCAGACTTGTGAGGCAGCATAAAGATTTACTGATTTTTTTTTCTTTTCTGTAACCAAGGATAAAGCTTTTAAAATTATTTCCCAGGGCTGTAGCTATTTGGGAGTTTCATAACCTGTTATGGTGCTTTTGGTGGAATTTTTATTATTTGTCAGAGAACCACTGTCAACTGGTTTCAACCTATGATGCTAACATGTTTTTCATTGTACCTTCATCTCAGGAATAACACTGGTTTAATGGAGATGTCAGGTACATTTGAAAAGAAAATAGAATAGCATTGCTATTTTTTCTACCCCTCCCCCCCCCCTTTTTTTAAAGGTCAAAGACAGCAAAGCCATATACCACTATCAAATAAGAAGTGGTGCCCTAGCTGGTTTGGTTCAGTGGCTAGAGCGTCGGCCTACAGACTGAAGGGTCCCAGATTTGATTCTAGTCAAGGGCATGTACCTCAGTTGCAGGCTCGGTCCCCTGCCCTGGTGGGGGGCGTGTGGGAGGCAACCAATCGATGTGTGTCTCTCTCTTCCCCTCCCTTCTACTCTCTCTAAAACTCAATAAATATCCTCAGGTGAGGATTAACAAAAATAAGTGGTTTTGGAGAATAAAAAATAACGAGTTTTAACTTCTCTAAAACTGTTTCCCCCAAGGGAATGAATTGGTGTGAGAGAGGTTGAAAGTACTGCTTAAGCGAGCCTGGAGGCCAAGGACAAGGGAGTACAGATTACCGAGACCAAGGTCTGCTTAGTTAGAAATGGAGAACACCCCAGAGTTCTGCTACATGCAACTTCATGCAGAGAGAATGTGTATCTCTCATTTCAATATTTATTTATATTTTAAAATTGTCTGCTTTTTGCCATTTCTGCAGTTTCAAGTCAGAAGCACATCTTCAACTAAAGACAGCAAATAGAGTAATAATCAGATTCATTCAATGAAGCAGCCTGATTCTGAGAATCATGAATGTCTCCACATGACATGTTACCCTCCCCTAGTCAACTGTGGACCAGACAAGCCAATGGACAGGAGGTACCTGCTATAGTGCTCATCACTCGTACTATGAGATACTGGATACTCTTGCTGAGAAGCGTCCAATGCCTAACCATGTTTGTACATAATGCAATTACTTTATGTTCTCCAGATCCACAATGGAGGAGTCAGATCCCTGGATTTTAAAATCAGATACTTTGGGTAAAAACGGCTTCACTTTAGTGATGATCACATCATTAATTTACAGATTTTATTTTAAAAAATTGAATGTAATTAGACATTTTCAGTATTTGTTTTCCCTTGGTTTGAAGTCATTCTTTTCTCGAGGCTTGTGACCAGAATCTCACCAGCCTGGTATTTTTAACCCCCACCCCCCCATGCACCTCACTCACATCTTTCATTTTCTCAAGCCTAGATCTTGTTAACAACCCATCAGGTGCAGTATCAGTTTCGAATCCAATTATCTAAGGAGATAAGAAAACAGAGGCAGCAGAATATTGGTATGTTATAGTCCAGCATTTAGCTAAGTTAAAAAAGAAATTAAGATTTTTCTATAATTAATGTTTTGATCAGAATAAAGCTGGTGAGAGGAAATAAGGTACAAGTGATAGTTTTTTTCAGTGGGGGAAAATGGTTGGATGAAATTGGGATGAGCACAGACCACATCTTCAGGGGTCTGGATCTTGTAGGTTTGACTACATAAGCAGTGTTAACTCCATTTTCATACCAGTAGCCCTCTAGAAAATAAAGCAAAGTAGTTCTAGTATGATCAAGTTATGAAACAGTATTGTAAAAAATAGCAAATTTTCATTTGTCCACATGCATATTTATAGAGTAGTTAGGTACCATTTGTAAGGTAAGTCCTTTAAAATTCTATAATACATATTAAAGTAGTGGTTATTGGTCTGATATATGCTGCTCTTGGTTCTATAAACCAGATAAAAGCAGTGCTTTGTGGAGTGCAGTGTTATATCTTAATGCCACTGGTGATAGAAAGTAGTTCCCTTCGGTTCAAATCCTGTGCCCTTATTTGCTGCTTGCTGATGTGAGCAATAAGTATCCTCTAACTAATGGTTTTTACACATTTCTGTAACTTGTATTTTAAGATGGTGTATCTGGTGATTGTAAAAATATTAGATAGATATAAAAGTATCTATATAATATATATTAACTGTTAATGCTGAGGTATAGTCTGTGAACTCTGTGTTTTGTACTTTTACTCACTGTGTAATTTAGTGGTGGTGAAAGTTCTACACTCAGTCTTTAAGAGTGGCAGTATCCCTTTTTGAATTTAACATGATCTGCATCAATTTGTTTGCCTGCTAAAGTTTTGTTAGAATAGGAAATAGTATAACAGTGTAAACAAGAAAGTATAGTATTGGTTAGGGAAACAGACTTCAAGTCACCAACTAAAGTGATTATAAATGCCTGTACATTCACTGTGAGTTTCAAAGGGAATCACCCTAATTTGTTCACTTTCTGGATGTGTACTGTTGAGAGAGAGCTGATGTTAAGCAGCACTATCACATCAAACACTGGGGCTCTCCGTACCAGTTAGGTCTCTACTAGAGGACGGTGGAAATACACATGTATATACCTTTACTTTGCCTAAAAATGCCATCCATTGTCCTCCAATTAATAAAATTAAAGTTACTGTTACTGTTTTATTTAAGAGGATGTTGAAAGTAACACCTTTTCCAAGGACAGTGTCAGCAACATCAATGTCAATATTGAGCCTGACCATTTATAGTGGTACAACGTCCACATGGTGGTATGGTGCATCTCCCTGATTATCACATTCCATTTTGGAACACTGTGCCAGTAAGAAGTGCAACATCCAATGGGCAGATGAAAACGATACAGAAAGTTCAGTGTTACAGATAAAACTGCTGTGGTTCAAGCACTTCCTTCCCCATCAGAGGCTGGCCAAGGCTTTGTAAGAAAGTGATCTAAATAATTATTTTGATGTTTAAACATAATTTGTTCACTCAATGGTCATTCTCACCTAAGCAAGGCCATAAAAGGTGATAGATACCCACCAACTCTTCTATTCCGACCTGTGAATAGCTAGATGTTTTCAAAACAAGATACCACCAGTATTATAACACAACTATTTTCCAGATAAATGGTACTGTGTTGAAAAACAATTACTTCCTCTAGCAGCATTTTATCTTCTGTTTTGAAGATTATTTATTGTACTAATTAGGAAATATGAAATAAGATAGGGAGCTCCAGACTGACACAGCAGTTGTTCTGGAAAAGGAACTACTCTAGTAAACTCTGATGTATTGGATAACCCACAGATGTATCATCAGTAACCTACTCTGGGTGCTCTTTGGTGAGAGACAGGCTTTGTCCTCTTGTTCATGACATTTCTCTACAAAGAAATTCTCTATGGAGCGAAGCAAATGAAGTAAACATTTCTTACCAAGTAAATTTATCAACTTAAGAACCTGCTCTACATCTCACTCTTGAGTTCAGTTGCAATCACCAGTGATCCTTCATACTTTATTTATTAAAACTGTTCATTCAGGTGAGAAGTATGTTGAAATTTTGCCAATATCTTAATAAAACCCAGCAATATAAAACCACTAGTCATTTGTCTTTTTATCCAAAGGAAATATATTTAGTGCTGGAATTTAGCTTGATTCCCTCAGAACTGAAAATAAAATCCTGAGGTGGTAGTTTTCTTAAACTTTAAAGTAGAAATATTGTTTTTAAAAAGTTGCCATAACTGTTATTTCCTTCCCTGAAAATACGTAAGATATGTATTTCATCTTCTATATGTTTTCCCTGTAAGTTTAAATGGGGGGGGGGGCGGGGAGGGAGGGGTTAGTATCCTCAAATAGATGAGGAACAGGACCTGCCAAAGGCTAAGTGTTAACTCCTCAAATCTACCAACTACTTTAGTCTTTAAACTGCATCCAACCAGTTTTCCCCTTTCACTTTATTCTTTCCCTTTTGTTTTAAACTGTAAAGTAAGGAAAATAATCAGGTGAATTGCACTTGAAATTCTGTCTGGAGGTTTGCTGTTAAGAGAGTTAATAGGAGATAGAGACAGAAAGGTTGGGGGTGGAAGTGAAGCTAATAAAGCAAGACACCTGCATCTAAGTGAATGGAATTAAACATGCAAAACAAGTATATCTAATTAATAAACTGCACTGTTTATACTCTTCTCCTCACCACTAAGTCCAGAAAGTACTTAAACCCCTAATTCCCTAAATTCATTCAGCACTTAGTGTGATTTTATATGGAAATGAAAGAAAGCAAGAATTGAGAGAAAAAGCAAAGGTCTGAAAGAATCATATTTGAAGTTTGCTAAAGCTGGGAATAAAAGAAAAGGAATATTGTGATAGTATTATTTATACTTGAAAAAAATCCCCTAATACACCATTTACTTAGTTCAAAAGAAACATCTCTTTCCAAAGGAAACAACAAACCCATAGAAGAACATATAAGAGCTGTGGGACAATATCAGTTTAACATATGAATAATTAGGATCCTAGAAGAGAAAGACAATGGGCAGAAGAAATAATGGCTGAGAATTTTCCAAAATTAATGATAGACACCAAATGATAGATCCAAGAAGTTCAGAACACTAAGCAGGTTAAATACCAAAAACACACTCCTACAGGGTAGGGGGAACACAACACCTTCCAAGTGGTTTCATTGGCAAATTCTGATCAAGGGTAACACCAATTCTATACATTCTTTCAGAAAAAGAGATGATCATTTTATTAGGACAGCATTAATCTGATACCAAATTAGATGAAAACAGAACTACAGACCAATAACAATCCCTCATGAATATAATGCAAAAATCCTCAGCAAAATATTAGCAAACTACATACTTACTAGAGTATCACTACATACATACTAGAATAACTCAAATTAAAAATAATGACAGGAACAAGTGTTTGTGGGATGATACTGGTACCCTCATTATGTTGCTGTTGGGCATGCAAAATGGCAGTGCTACTTCTGGAAAAGTTTGGCAGTTTCTTATAAAATCACATGACTCGGTGAAATGACTTCTGTCACCAACTTCACAGGTTAAAGGCAAAGTCCTCCACGAGACTGCTCTTACTTCAGATGCCAGATTTGGAAGTCCCAGGCCACCAGTTGGCTACAAATTTGGGAGTTCCCACCTGTGCCCATTAGGTTTGATAATTGGCTTGAGCAGCTCTCAGAACTCAGGAAAATACGTTGCTTACAATTCCAGTTTTATAAGGATACAAATCAGAACCAGGGAAAAGGAGAGATACAATAGGCAGTGGTTCTCAACCTGTGGGTCGCAAACAATGAAAATACATCCTGCATATTAGATATTTACATTACGATTCATAACAGTAGCAAAATTACAGTTATGAAGTAGCAACGAAAATAATTTTATGGTTGGGGGTCACCACAACATGAGGAACTGTATTAAAGGGCCGCGGCATTAGGAAGGTTGAGAACCACTGCATAGGGTGAAGTGTAGGAGAGTCCCAATGTGAAGCTCCCTTGTGATCAGGGCATGAACCATCAACACATGACAATACAGAGTATTGCCAAGCAGGGAAGCACATTCAGAGCTTCAGTGTGCAGAGTTCTTACTGGGTTTCACTCAGTAGCCATGACTGACTCACTGGAAATAAGGACGAACTATTCAGGCTCATATCATGGGACTCTTAGCCCCGATCCTCTAATCACAAGGTTAGTCTTTCGGCATGGCAGCCACATCCTGAGTCATCTCTTTAGCATAAACTATCAGGAACCACACTCCTATCACTCAGAAAATTCTAAGCACTAAGAGGCTATATCCCAAGAACCAGGGACAAAAGCCAACCAAATTCTCTATTACACACCCAGCAATCCCACTCCAAGGCATATATTACCTTATGGAAATCAATGTTCACACAAAAACCTATACAAAATGTTTATAAAGTTCATAATCACCCCAAGACTGGAAATAACCCAAAGTCCTTCAACGGTTAAATGAATAAACATTTATACAGTGAAATATTACTTGGCAATAAAAAGGAATGAAGTACCAATTTAGAGAAGATGGATGAGAATGCTAAGTGAAAGGCTACAATAATTCTATATGAGTCTGGAAAAGAGAAAACTAAAAGGACAGAGAATTACCAGGGGCTGGGTGGTGGGGGATTTTACCTATAAAGAGCCAACACAAGGGAATTTGGGGGTATTGAGCTGTTCTGTACAGTGGCAGATACATGACTGTATTTGTCAAAAGCCACAGAACTGTATATCACAAAGGCAATTTAATATATGTAAATTAAAAAACCAACCAGGATGTGTGGGGGAAGAGAGAATGCAGATTAACAGATGAATCTAACAATATTAAAATGAGCCACATAATCACACTGGAGAGACTAGGAAAAAAGACACTAGTGTAACTCTGAATCATAATATCTAAGTAACTTTGGAAAAAGTGTTTTGACATCACACTCAAAGGCTAAAATCTGTACAAAAGCACTGTACTGCAGTTGGTGAATTTGTTTCTCTTAAGAGTATAGGTCAACAAATCTTTGTTTCTAAATACGATTGTCCAAAAAAGGGGGCATGGTTGAGCTTGGAGCATCCTGTGGGGGCAGGGAGGGAAGGAAGGAAGGAAAGGAAGGAAGGAAGGAGAGGGAGGACAGGGAGAGAGGGAAGGAAGGAGACACAGGGAACATATCAAAAGGATACAGGAGCCAACCTGAAAGAGCTTCAAATAGCCAAAACTGGAACAAACTGAACTGCAAAATAATGACAGTACTGGAACACAATTCAAAGAATAAATATCCATGAGTCAAAACTCGTGTAAATAAGTAGCTGGGGGGGAAAATGGAGAAGAAGGGACTTTTCCTTAAGAATTCTAATAATAAATGTAGGAGAAATAACAAACCACCATTAGAATACTGCAGTAATAACTGCCATAGGCAAGATCCACTACTGGATGCTAAAATTAGCTGTTAAGAACAGAAATATTTGCACAGTCTGAAAAGTATTTGCCCTAAATATTTAGTAATTACAAAGGGAAAAATATTAACGGGGGGAATTGTGACAGACACCACCATAACCAAGTAAGATTAACATCACCAATAATAAGCATCTGCACCAAACAGCCCCTGATCCGACGCACTTGGAAGGGTATATCACTTCTGTGGTAGCCTTCCCAATAACACACAGGCTCAACTGAAAATGAGAAAATATCAGACAAATCCAAATAGAGAAACATTCTATAAAATACAGTTGACTCTTGAACAAGACAGTGGTTAGGGGCAGTGACCTCCCACACAGTCAAAACTTCTGACTCCCCCAAAACTTTAGTCATCCCTGGGTATCTGTGGGGGATTGGTTCCAGCAGTCACCAAAACCCATGGATGCTCAAGTCCCTTATATAAAATGTTGAAGAACAATGCATACAGTCAGCATACTGTTTTTGATCCTTGCTTGGCTGAATAAGCAGGTGTAAAACCCAGAGACACAGAGGGCCAACTATATACTTATTGGGAAAAAAACATGCATGTAAGTGGACCTATGAAGTTCAAACCCATGTTTTTCAAGGGTCAACTATAATTGGTTGTCTTCAACAATGTCAAGGTCATGAAAAACAAGAAGAGACTGAGGAACTGTCACAGACGGAAGGAGACATGACAACTAATTGCATTGTGGCATCCTGGTCTGGATCCTGGAACAGAAAAAAGTGTGTTAGTGAAATTAACTGGAGAAATCTGAATAAATTCTGTAGTTTAGTTAACAGTATTATAAACGACTGATTTCTTTGTTTTGTTCACTATTCTGTGGTTATGTAAGATGTTAACAAAAGGAGAAGCTGGGTAATAGGCATACAGGAACTCAAGATTTTTGCATGTCTCTTGTAAATCTAAACTCATCTAAAAACGTTTTAAAAAGTCACAATCTTTAGGTCTTTAATCATGAGGTTTTAAAATGGTGGGTTTGGTTCAAGTATGGTAAATTGGAAAAAGTAGTAGACTAGCAATTCCTTCCATTCTTGCCAATGGTGTTGAACCTTGAGAGAACCACACAACTTCCCTGAACCTATTTCTCTGCCAAAATGGTCCGACGCACAACTTATCTACCTCAAAGGTTACTTCAGGGTTCAATGACACAGTCCAAGCTGTACAGAAATGATATGCTTGTGCAAAAGGCAAACGTTACCACTGTATCATTAGGCCTAAGAGAAAGTATTAAGGAGACATTTTCTAGGAACAAAAAGATAAAAATATTAAATACTGAGCAAGGTGATGGTGGAAGCAAAGACTAAGACAAATTATGTTCTTCAGCAAAAGAGGGAACCTTTTTTTTAAAGGTGGGGACTCTGTAATGGTACAGAGTGGAGCAACGGATTAGAAATTGGTTCCTTATATCGATTGTGGGTGATGACAGCTATACCTGGGAAAATGGAAGAGATCTCATTTGCACCAGATCTTTTGCAGACCAGAACAAGAACCACCAATGGGGAGAGGGGAAAAGAACTGGTATCTTCCCTCATTGCTATCTAAACTTTAGCACAGCCAAAGCAGGCATACCACATCAAAGAGGGAAAGCATGAGGGTGCCTGGCACCACTGGGGACTTGGATGCAGACTTAGTATGTAACACGGCTAGAAACAAGGGAAGGAATCACGTTTTCCAAAGATCCCACTACTAAAAGCTAACAGGTACTTCATCTTTGAAGAAATTTTTTGATCTGTAGGTTTATGATTCTAGAATGATGGGATAGCAGCTGCCTATCCATCATCCTGTATCCACAAAACTAAGCACAAATAACTAATTAAATGTTCAATCTTTTTTGACTTAAAAATCATGCTTTCTTAAACTTAAGCATTCTCCTATCTTCTCTATATTGAGAAAAAGTGATACTCCCATAAATTCTAATGACAGAACAGAAGTCAGCAAACTATCTCTTAAAGAGGTGAAAGTAAATATTTTAGACTCTGGGAATCAGGTTTTGTTAGCAGCCACTCAACTCTGTCTTTGTAGGGAAAAGCAGCTATTGACAATCTGCAGATGAATGGATGTGGCTATGGTCCAATAAACTTTATTTACAAAAACAGACAGTGGTAGGGACTTGGCCCAAAGATAGTTGTTTGTCTCCCCCTTGAAAGAATGCTAGGTAGAAACTTGCTAATTGGATCCCAGACATTTTCCTCAATGGATTGTGTGAATGTGTATATATATTCTGCATATTTCTTGCTATTTCATAATTCACAAACATTAGTTGAGGTGAGATGGAACCCAACAAAACAGGCATGATTTTCTTCATCACAGGAGAATGCTTTTGAGTACAGTAAGTTTTTATTTAACATCGTCAGTAGGTTCTGCAACGTTAAGCAAAACAACATAAAACGAAACAAATTTGCCCTAACTGGTTTGGCTCAGTGGATGGAGCATCAGCCTGTGGACTCAGGGGTCCCAGGTTCGATTCCGGTCAAGGGCATGTACCTTGGTTGCGGGCACATCCCCAAAAGGGGGTGTGCAGAAGGCAGCTGATCAATGTTTCTCTCTCATCGATGTTTCTGGCTCTCTATCCCTCTCCCTTCCTCTCTGTAAAAAAAAAAAAAAAAAAAAAAATCAATAAAATATATTAAAAAAAACGAAACAAATTTTACCACAGGCTAACCATATACTCAAGAGTCGAGTTCCTATGTTAGTCCCTATGCCATCGAACAAAATGATGTTATCTGAGACCCTGCTGGACTGAGCTCATCTTTTAGTTCAGGGGTGGGGAACCTTGTTTCTGCCAAGGGCCATTTGAATATTTACAGCATCATTCGTGAGCCATACAAAATTATCAACTTAAAAATTAGCCTGCTATATTTGGTCAACTCACCCCTAATGCCTTGGCAGGGTCAGACCAAATGATTTGTACCTAATGTAAGTACCTAAAGCAGGGATGGGGCCGGATGTTCCCCATCCCTGCTTTAGGTACTTACAAATTTGTTTTTCTTTTTTGGTGAAACTGTTGTCAACTTTAATTACAAAAATGGAGATTTATTTTACTAGGAGGGTAGTTAATATCATTTCTTTAGAAGCTTAGTTTTTTTGAAGGGATAGATTTTATTGTTAAACATGGAGTCAGAATATGCTATAAATGCGTTGGGTTCCTTGAACACAGAAAATAATATACCAATTAAGTTCAAATAATTTCCCCTACAAAATTTTTGTGCAAGCATAACAAGTAATACCTTCTAATTTTCCTATAGCCATTAATAACCAAAAATAGTCTTGCTGACATAGTGAACTCAAACTCCACCAATTTAAAAGGGTCTCAACTAATTCTCCATTCATCTAAAATAAGGGCAGCACTCCTGACTGTTTTTATACATAGTAACCTGAGAGGATAAGAAAAGCCAAAAAAAAAAAAAAATACTTGAGATCCAAGTGTACTGTGATCTAAGTATCACTATGAAATTTGGGGAATTCAATGATTTAAAAAACCTCAAGGTCATGAAAAATAAGAGCAAAATTTAAGAACACTTCCTAGCCGAAACCGGTTTGGCTCAGTGGATAGAGCGTCGGCCTGCGGACTGAAAGGTCCCGGGTTCGATTCCGGTCAAGGGCATGTACCTGGGTTGCGGGCACATCCCCAGTGGGAGATGTGCAGGAGGCAGCTAATCGATGTTTCTCTCTCATCGATGTTTCTAACTCTCTATCTCTCTCCCTTCCTCTCTGTAAAAAATCAATAAAATATATTTTAAAAAAAAAAAAAAAAAAAAAAAAAAAAAAAAAAAAAAGAACACTTCCTATATAATAAAAGCCTAATATGCAAATTGTCCCCTCTGGTGGTGGTTCGACCAAGAGACCGGGAGTTCAACCGCTCGCTATTACGTGTGCTGACCACCAGGGGACGGCGCGGAACATGGCAGGCGTCAGTGTCGAGCTGTGACCTCTCGCTAGCTACCTGGGGGCGGGGGTGATGGGGCTAGAGGTGTGGTGAGAATGCGGGATGTCTGCCCGAGCTTGCTCTCACTCCCCCTGCTATCCTCCCCCAGGACGCCAGGGCTCGCATGCCACCCCCCACTGCACTCAGGTGCTGGGAGCCCATGAGGAGCCCGCCCGGCACTCGCACCACATCTTCCGGGTGAGCTGGGCCACAGCTGCCAGGACCGCAGGGGCCGGTTCATGCAGGAGCTGGTCTGTGAGGCTGAGAGAGCATGCTGCCCGCCCAGCTTCCATGTGGCGCCACTGGGCAGCCCAGAGGCCCACGCTGCACCCTGGCCCATGGCGTCCAGCTGTGCTCACCACATCTCCGTGTGGGGACTTGGGTACTGTGACTCAGGTGGAGGGGAGCGCACGGGAGCCCAGGTGCTGCCCATGGCCCAGAGGTCAGCTGGGACTTGCCCTTCCATGCCAGACGCTCGCACTTCGATCGCTGGCCAGGCCTAGGGACTACACCCGTGCAGGAATTTTGTGCACTGGGCCTCTAGTATGATTACAAACTATGTTCCTATACGTACATATCTATGCTAAAGTTTCATTTATAAATTAGGCAGATTAAGAGATTAACAACAATAAAATAGAATAATTATATTAATACTCTCCAGTAATTCTTTTATTTTTCAGTCCAAACCTATTCCTGAATCTACTTGATGCCACTCATTTCCGGGGACTCCTTGCTTAAGTCTTCCTATGGGCTCAATTCTTGCTGGTGCAACACAAAGCAGGATGGCACCAGATTTTATCACGCTACAAAACAGCGCACAATTTAAAATGTATGTTTCTATCTGGAATTTTCCATTTAATATTTTTGGATCATAGGTAACTGAAATCATGGAGCACAAAACTGTGGATAAGGGGATACTACTGTATATAGATTAATGACCCAAGAAAATCGCATGGCTAAATCACTCATGCTAAGAAGCTCTTACAAGTAAATTTCCCTAAATGAAGAGTCTATTCCCAGGCCTCTCTTATTTCTTAAACACATGCAGTTTCACATATTTTGAAAATAAATAGAATTACAAAGACATATGGAAAAGCACTCAGTTCTATATCAAAACTATATAGGTCAAGAAATGGCTAGGCAACAGTGAGAGATTCAAAGTGTCAATCACTTATGTTTATGGATTTATTTTTTAAAAAAACCTCATTTTTCACAATGGTTTGCTCTCAACACTAAAGGTGCAAAATTCTTACATTATATTTTCATCTATTACAATGTAGTTAGAGATAAGAAAAAGCTGGACTAAAAATATGATCTCATCAAAATGTAATGACCATGAGCACATTTCTATCTAATAGAAAATGTTAGATCACTGCATGACAAACTACGTAATAATTATACAACAGCATGCCAATTAACATGTTAGTAAACAAGTGCTAAATTTTTACTTTTCCTAAGATGATAGTTCTTAAATATTTTCAATTAACTTTTAAAGAGAAAAGGTAACCATATATATTAAGGACATTATAAATAAGTCTCATAACTTCCCATGCATTTACTAACAGTCTATAGAGCTCAACAGCCTCTATAATATGCAGGCAATATAAATAGAAAAAAAAAAAAAGGAGGCTTCCTGTCCCACTTCTAATAAATTGCAGAGGCATAATATTTTCTCAAGTTCATTTTATTAACAAAAAGAGCAAACTGTTTTGAACAAAAGCAAACCATGAATCATAGCAACCGGCAACACATTAGACATGGAAAAGTGAGTATTAAGTAAAATATAAGCAGATGAGATGCCTCTCACATGTATATATATTCATGCTTTTTCAATAGTCTCAGTCAACTTTCAGTGTAATTTTCACCAACAGTCTAGCAGCTCAAACACAAATGCAGGAGCACAATGGCAAAAGTTTGGCAACTACTTTGGGCTCATTGCAAGTATGAAAGAAACCTATACCACAGTTTCATGTAAACCTGCAATTTGTATTTCTTTAAATGTCCCTGACACTGAAATCAATGTCCAACTAATGAAAAAAAGGAGAACAAGAGGACATTAAATACTTGTACTTTAGAGGCAGAAAAAATGAGATACTTTAAATGATCTTATACGCGTTCATGTAACCAGGAATATAACCAATCCACATTAACTTATTTACTAGTAAAAATACACTTGTAAAAGTCACACAATAGAAAGATTATGAGCCATTGATCAGTGTGCCTGCACTTGAAAAAACACACGAAAAGATAAATAAGTTAACTTTAGTTAGTGTAGTGTTACTTCAGTCATTCACATAATAAAGTATCTACGGGACAGAATCTACACATAAGCAATTTTTCTGTTCACTAATCTACAGGCACTAACGAAACTATACACTGACTAAAACCCCAAAGCCAGTCACTTAAACACAACTGAGCATCTAGCCCAAAACAGGACAGCACCGGTGGCGAGCATCACTGAGCGCATGCACGTCTCTGGGGACATTTTTCGGCAGTTACTTGCCCTTCTGTTGTAGTCGACAAACTGCTCTTTAAGAATATACTACTTTACTAAATTAATTAAGGACTACATGTTTATTTACTACATCACACAGAATTCTTCCCACACCTTTTTTCCTGTGTACTAAAGTCTTCTACTAGAATTATGCTACTTTCTAAAGTTTCATAATTATCATTTCAGGTAGATATGATGAAAAAAAATTAGACAAAATCTGACAGATGACAATTTGAGCACCAACTACAGCATATTTCAGGGTCAAGATAGCTTGCAAGTCAGTTCTCTTGGTTTGAAAATTACCTTCCACTGTTGTCTTCAGTATTGAAGCTGAGATCTTCAAGGCCTATTTGTTCACCATCAGGAAAACTGGAATGCGTATCTAAGATAAAAAAGAAAAGAAAAACAGATTACATTTTCTAATGACCAGTATTTTTTTGCATGTCTTTAAATGATCTTACCAAGTATGGTATTTAAGCAATGAAGACTTGCTGGGTTGTGAACAAAGCTGTCTTTAGGGAATTTGTGACCTGAGTCAGGTGCAAGCAAACACAAGGAGAAATAAAGGAGAAAAGAAAGGTGCAATAGATATCCACAGTTAGAAAATGAAAGGCACTGCCTCACTTTGTCCTCCAGGGACACTGTGGGGGCAGCTGAAGAAGGAACAGGAAATGGTGATGTACACTCTGAAGACTGTATAAACATAAAATGTATTGTAAAGCCAATTAAATTGCACAAATATCACGACAAACACCTACCCGCATTCAAAAACTTGCCAAAAGTTGGCTGCTTCTTTTGGAAAGAGAAAAAACTACTGAAAGTGTTTTAATACTTAAAAATCATCAAATGCGTGGCTCTCTATTAGACACTAGATAGAACATGAGGGAAATACGTAAAATATAAAGCTGACAATTAGCATAAGCCTGGCAACATTCTCATCCCAGGAATTCTTCTGAATGCTCAGATTGATCATTAAGGTCTCTGGATAAAATTAACAGTGGGTGATAGATGTTAACTAAACTTACTGTGGCAATCATTTTGCAATACATACATGCGTATATACACAAAACATTATGTTTAATACCTCAAACAAACCAAAAATATTAACAATGGGTTTCTCTCAGTGAGTTTTTTTCCTAAGACATTTTTGGGAGGAAGAGGAAATAATAACTTATGATTCCATTATCTGCATATATTTCTAGAAAAATCAGAAAAAGTTCTAGACTATAAATATTTCTAAAAAGAAAAAAGTCAAACATCTGAAACCTCCCTAGGGGCTGGCAAACATCTACTACAAATGGGCAGAGAGTAAATACTAGTACGTAGGTACCACAGGCCACAAATGGACTCTGTTTTATAACTTTACAACAGAAAAGCTATTCTTAAAGGACCACAGGCTATACTGGAGCAGGTTCCCGACCCCTGCTTCACTCAGTAAGTAGCACCCATTAGGTGTCTGACCAGCCAAATATTACCTACTAATTTTCTTCAGTCCTCACCATTTAGTTTACCCCATATATATTAGTATTGTCTCATAAATGACAATAATTAAAACAGAAAGAGAAGCAGAAGCAGAAACAGAAGCAAATCAGCAGCAGCAGCAGAATTGGCTCTATTCATCTCCGTGAAGTGACACCAGGCTCTGCACCTTCATCTGGGGGCTGTGCTGTGAAAGCGTCGTTGAATCCGCCCAGGCTGGTGTGCTCTTCCTGCTCCTCATTCTCGGTGTCACATTCCACATCACTGTCGCTACTCATTCCTGCCAGGAAAGAAGGGAAGAACATGTCTCTGACAAGCAGCCACTTCATGTGAAAGGCAGAGGAAATCTTACAACTAAACTGTGATTCCCACTGAATTTTACATTGAATGCCAAGACAATATAAGACACCACACAAAACAAGGAAAACCAACTACACAAACCTCAGTTCTAATTATTAGAGCAGTGGTCTTATTTTTGTCCTCAAAGATTAAAATTACCCTTTCCACAGTACCTGAATTTGAGACCAGTATTAATTTCATTATACTGAGAATTTTTTTTCTGAAATCACACTGTATTTTCTAGAATCATGAGATAACAGTAACTCTCAACCCCGACTGGACATACATATAATTGTTTCTAGCCTAAAACATATAAACATGTTACGTAAACAAAATACACATTTATCTGCATATGCATGTTTAAAATAATTCCAGTAATTCTAGCAATAAATGAGTTACTATCCCATTTGGGCCTCCAATTTTGTATTTGTGTACTTAAGCTGATTTTTAAGAGAAAAAGTCTATAGAAAGTATTTCTATTACAAGAAGATAGTGATCAAGAAAATCTGAAAATATATCTGCTACACACCCTTATAAATGGTGGAAAAAAAGTAAACTTAAAATATTATTTTAACTAAGAGCCACATTTAAAAGAAAGAAGTGAAAAAGCCACAGCTGCCAAAAGGAGCAGGAGAAGGGAGACCAGTGGGTCCAGCACCACAACTGTCCAGAGGGTGTAACATGAGGGTCTTTCACACTCCCTTGGGGATAGGGGGGGAAAAAAAATCTTTGGACCTACCACAGAAGGGAGTCGATACTGAGACTAAAACTCTGCCTACTGGCATAGAAAGACAGCAGGGAATTCTGTCTGTTTTTGCTAGGCTCAGTTCATATAAGAATTCAAACTAAAGCCTGTGTACTTAAACAACTTAGGTTTGGGATTTAAAGTTAAGGTTCAAAGATCAGAAAATTAACATAAAAATTGGCCAGCGGCTAGGGTTATTTGAACAAAGCAAATGCAAAATCCTTTGAAGGGAAGGCTCTAGGTAAAGGGAGCAAGCACATCCCATCCAGTCTTTCCCACTGAATGGAACTATAAATGTGGACAGAATGCATGAAGCCGCTATTTAAGGACTCTGAAAAGTAAATAGAAACAAGCATATTGGTGCAGACCAGAATTTGAAGTACCACCAAATTGGCAGATTTAAACAAGACTCAGAGTCTCATAAAATCATATTAAAAATGTCCAGGATACAATCCAAAATTACCTCAGCCAATGAAGAACCAGAAAAAGATAATCAACAAATATCAATGCTGAGATGACAGAGATGTTGAAATTATCTAACAAAGAACTTCAAAGTAGATATAAAAATGCTTATGAACACTCTTGAAACTTGTTAAAAACCTCTCTGGAGGAACGCTTCCACAATCCAGGTACAAAATTATCATAGAAAAAAGAAAATAAAGAATTCTTGAAGGGTAGGGTTGGGAGTCTCAAAAAGTTGTGTTCCAATCAAAATTTACAAAACAAACAAACAATGTGGATTACAACATTACAATCCACCTGAAGAGTCAAGCAGATATACAGACAGAACAATACCATGAATCTTTCACTATCATGAAATAACTTGTAAAAGACTAATGTGGAAAACAAAAGGATACTTTTTAAATTACTAAGTACTTCTAGAAATGAAAGATATAGTCATTTAAAAATTAAAATATTAATAGATGAATTTAGGAAGTTGAAAAATAGGTTGCAAGCTTAAAGACAGAACTGAGGAAATTACCCATACACCATAGAAAAATGAGATGAAAATTATAAAACAGAGGTTTAAGAAACAAGGGGATAAAAAGGAATGTTTCAAACATATTGCCACAGAGATAGCAAAAGTAACAAAGGAGAGGGATAATATATTAGGAGAAAGTGGCTGTGAATTTCCCAGGATTAATGAAAAACATTCTGAATAGAATGAAAATTAAAATATAACTACCAATAGCTCTGGAATGTGGCTATAGCAGTGTTTAAAGGGAAAGTTACAGCATTAATGGCTTTTATTAGAAAAGAGAAAAAGGTCTCAAATTAATGATCAAAGTACCCACTTTAAGAAACTAGAGCCGAAACCGGTTTGGCTCAGTGGATAGAGCGTCGGCCTGAAAGGTCCCAGGTTCGATTCCGGTCAAGGGCATGTACCTGGGTTGCGGGCACATCCCCAGTAGGAGATGTGCAGGAGGCGGCTGATCGATGTTTCTCTCTCATCGATGTTTCTAACTCTCTATCTCTCTCCCTTCCTCTCTGTAAAAAATCAATAAAATATATTAAAAAAAAAAAAGAAGAAACTAGAAAAGGGAACACATAAACCCAAAGGGAGAAAAATAAAGAACAGAAATAAAATTATCAGAAAAATAATAGAAAAAGCTTCTAGAGACTTTAAAAATAGCAAACAAAATCCAGTATCAGGAATAGAAGAGGGGACATCACTACAGATCCTACAGACATTAAAAGGACAATAAGCGAATAGAAACAATTTAATGCTCATGAAATCAAGAACATGGATGGAAAGGACAAATTCTTTGATTCAGACACAAATTACCAAAGTTCATTCAGATAAAAATATAGGTAACTTGAATGGGTATTTTAACTACTAAAGAAATACAATTTGCAGTAAAAAGCAAACAACCAAAAACAACAACAAAAAAACCACCTTCCAACAAAGAAAATTGTAGCTACAGATGGCTTCACTGGTGAACTCTTCCCCTTCTGTTTTCAAGAAGAGTTTATGTAGTACTAGAGGCCCGATGCACAAAATCCGGGCAAGAGTAGGCATTCCTTCACCCTGGCTGCCTACACCGGCTTTCCTCTCACAGCCCTGGCTTGAAGGCAGGTCTAAATAGCATATTATACTTTTATTATTATAAGATTATTTCTCCCTTAACTATTTAGAAGACACAGGCAATGTATGGATATCTCTGAAATCTCGTTTTTAAAGTATGTCTTTATTGATTTATTTTTTAAAATGTTTTCATTGATTTCAGAGAGTGGAAGAGAGAGAAACATCGATGATGAGAGAGAATCATCGATCAGCCGACACCTGTGTGCTCCCCCATCAGGATGAAGTCCGTAACCCCAGCATGTGCCCTGACCCAGAATCCAACCGTGACCTCCTGGTTCATAGGTCAACGACACTCAATCACTGAGCTACACTGGCTGGGCTGATATCTCTTTAGCAAAGAAAAGGAGAGAAAAAATTACTTCCTGCTCTAGAAAGTGAACAGTGACTATTTAGAGACCAAACCACCACTTCCATGAAGCAACACCACCACCACCTTGTGGCCTTTCCTGGAACTGTTCTGAAAACAATAAAACCCAGTTCTTGAAATTTAGGCACAAATATTACCTCTTGGAACTGGTGTTTCAGAATTCCTGACAGATACTAACCTTCAGGATGCACCAACTGAAATTCTCTGGATTTCCCGAAAACATAACTTATTCTTTAAATACTTACAACATTACAACATTTTTCAAACTCTTCATTTAAAAAACTATTTAATTTGTAGTACTTCTAAGAACTGTAGGCTACAGTGAATATTCCTGGATAGTATTCAAATAATGTAACGTTTAGAACTTTTAGCAAGGTTTATAGTACTGCATATAGAATTATAGGTGGAAAATGCCAATTAAAACAATTATTTTGTTTCCCAAACACCTATTTCTTATAACACTACTCATAAGATTCCTGTATAGTATAAACCCATGAATATTTACACAGCAGCGGACAGGGCCATACACACTTATAAAATGACAAAGCTATATTAACCAGAACTGATTTGCTTGTGATCACTTCTTTCCAAGGTGCTCCTGTTTATCTTAACCTTTGATTCCAGGTATCAATATTTTCAGTTTCTATTTTCAACTTGCTGTAATTGGATTCCTTCAAACCAGTCATGTTTCTGTATTGATTAAGATGAATTCTAACAGGAGAATTAGAGTAACTTTTCCATTTTTTTATTTGAATCATTTTCCTCAGGATTCAGGAAAACATACATTTTTCCAAGAAATACTGCATGAAAAAACTACTACTGGTCTCTTATCAAGTCTTAAGATGTGGAAGTGCCCTAGCTTTGTAAATATAACGAGAAAGACAAATTAAAATTAGTCTCTTGACCTCTAGCATTTAATAGCTGGACTACTAGGTCAAAAGGTCCTGTACAACTTATTACCATCAGTAACTGAGAGAGAGCAAACACTTTCAATTATTTTCATTTTTTTGAAATGAGACTAGCCTTTATCCAGCAACAGGCCTCAAGCTCTCTGCTATGCCTTGCCCCATATACTGCAAAGTCTACCTACCCACTGCATTAAGCAGTAATAAAGCAAACTAGTGATGTTTCATCTACTCTAAGAAATTTGAGTACTGGACCTTTCTTGATCTCACTAGAAGGTGTCAACAGGTTTTCACACAACTGGCTGTTACTGATAGTAATAATAAGGTACCATTAAACATAAGATGTTTTAGAGATGTTAGTGTGGAAAAAATTTGAAATAGGGTATTTCTACATCAAGCGCCTGCCACACTTTTTGAGCACCCTTATGCTCAGTACTGTCCAAAGCCAACTTTCGAGTTGTAACTCCTTATTCACGGGCGCTCAAATTTCTGATGCTTGGAAAATACATTAACCACTTGGTATACCAAAAACTTATGCTTCAACTGTCTTCTTCCTTTCTAACAGAACCCCAATATTGTTTCACATTACCATGTAAAATGGGCCACAGAGGGAACCAAATGTTTAAACTTTGCCAAGTTTCCTTTTCTTGCCAGTGATTGAGATATAAGAGGAAATTAGATGTTGTTGAGGTCCTCTGAGAAAGGCTTTCCTTGTAGATAGAGACACACAGAAATAATCCTTCCTTACTCCCAGAATGTGTTGACTCTATATAAAGTTTAGAACTGCAGCAACCAACTTGCCATCCTGAGGGGAGCTGAGCCAACTCACTGAGTGGCA